TAAATATCAAAATGCCCATGGGATTCCTAATACATCTGAATTATATAATTGTTTAAAGTTTTTCAAAATTTGGTTTCTCCAATGTTGTTAGTTTTATTTAAATATTTAATGATTCTTGATTGTCTATATATATTTGTGTTCATAGTATATAATATGTAGTGTTGGTGGCCAGAATTGATTTACTTTGTCCAAATAAGAAGCCCTTTTCACCCGGCAGATGTTAAATGCAAGTTTTCATTATAGGTATACTAGTTCTGATGGTTGTGTGTTTGTTTGTAGGGTGAATGAGGAAGTTGGTGGTATAGGGAGGTTACATGTGAATAGTCTCTTCTTTGCGATTTATGAGTAGTTTCTATACTGGATCTTCCTATTTCAGCTATTAAGACAACTGAAAGTCAATTGGGTTACTATCAGTCTCCTTCCTATAAACCTGTTTTCCATTCGGTAATCTCTGAAGTTAGACTTCCCCCTTAGTAGAGCTGTACTTGAAGTTTTATTCAGGAGAGAAATGCTATTTTCAGTTCCTCTGGCAACAGAATTAATATGTAGTTCTTTTCCTTCTAATGAATTATCCAGCCTACTGTCCAAGTCTCAGCCCTTCTCACAACCCTCATTGTCTCTTGCCTAAGTGTTATGCAGAGAATTTATTGGAAGAACTCACTTTAGTGATTCTTCTCTTTGATGATCATCACCTGGATGAATTTATTAGCTCCTTAGTCTGTTGCATTTTATTGGCAATCTGGACCTACTTCCAGAACTGTCAAAATTCCTCCATAGCCCTCAAAAGTCTGCTGGTGACATTACTCTCAGGTTTATAGAAATGCTATGATTTTATGGATTTATTTCTATTTGTATATTTCTTCTGTGATTTCTGTGTATTTTGGGGAGGGTAGTGAGGTAATTCACATGTTCATTTTGTTCAATTAGTTGTGAACCAGCACTATTATCTTTAGATTTACAGCAAACTAAATTTTACTTTCTTGGCTTCTTAAAAAATTAATCAGGATCTGCAGTTTCTCTCTCAACAAAATAAGACAATTCAATTTTGTTTTTTTCATTTCTCGTATTTTACTTTCCCCAAGCACTCCATCTCTTTACCCCCTACCTCTTGGATTTGGTTACAATAATTTAGAATTATGTCCCCTCTAGTTTGCATATCCTTGCTTAATAAAACTGTATTAAATCCCACAATCTCAGTATCAGCAATTATTCACAATTTATTTTAACTTTTATTTTCTTTTTCTCTTACATCATTTTTTCTCTTACAACATTTTACATGTCCTCTCATTTCTTGGATTTAAAAGACTTTTTTCTTAGAGTAATTTTGGAAATAGGGTACACTGTTATCTGCTTCTCAAAACTTCAAGTAAGTAACCAGACAGGTTATTAATATTATTTCCAGATCTGGGTGATGAATCGGAGGCTCAATGTTGACTTTTTTAAGGTTACACAAATTCAGTGGCAAAGCCTAGACCCAAATTTGGATCTCCAGACTCTGAAGTTTGCTTTGCTGTCTTTTGTATACATATTTGTTTCTTTTTCTTATAGTAGGTGTCCACGACAAGCTGTTTATTTTACTATCTTTTGTTGGAGTACTTTGAAAGACCATTTCTAAATACAGATCTCTGCTTTTCATAATTATTGCTGATGCTTGTGCAGTCATATTCAGTTTGCTTAGAATTGTGGACATTAAGAATATTATTTGGCAAAATCCTACATTGAGGCTGTTTGTGGTTGCTGTTTTTTGGAAACAATTATTATATAATTCTTCTTCTTTGTGTAGTCATACATAAATATCTTGAATTTGAATACCTGACAACTAGAATAAAAGAGAAACATGATGGATTACATAACATAAATATTCTACTAAGAAGATGGCAGAGCATTAGGAGACTCAAAATTTTCTGAGTTAAGGCTGGGTGCAGTGGCTCACACTTGTAATCCCAGTACTTTGAGAGGTTGAGGTGGGTGATCAATTGAGGTCAGGAGTTGAAGTCCAGCCTGGCCAACATGGTGAAACCCTGTCTCTACTAAAAATATAAAAATTAGCCAGGGATGGTGGCAGGCATCTGTAATCCCACCTACTGGGGAGGCTAAGGCAGGAGAATCACTTTAACCTGGGAGATGGGAGTTGCAGTGAGCTGAGATTGCTGCCACTGCACACTCCAGCCTGGGCAACAAAGCGAGACTCCATCACCCCACCGCCCCCCCAAAAAATTCTGAGTTAAGAATGCCAAAAGTAATTTATCATGTATGCCTTAAAGATGTTCAGAAGAATATTACTGGAGATGCTATTATAGCCAGTTTATAACCAATAAAGACAAATTCTTTATATGACATAAAAATGTAATTTCCTTTATAAATATAAATGGATGCAAAAATCAACAAAATACTAGCAAACTGAATCTAGCATCTATAACAAGATTTATACAACATGACTAAGTAGAATTTATACTACAAATGCAAGGTTGATTAAGCTAATAAAAATCAAGCAATATAATAATATACCATATTGAAAAAATAAAGTACAAAAATCACGTGATCATCTCAATAGACAGAGAAGGAGTATTTAATAAAATTTGAAGCTCTTTCATGATTTAAAAAATTGGCAAACTAGGAACAAAAAGAAAGTTCCTCCACCTGAAAAAGGGCATCTATGAAAAGCTATAGATAACATAAGACTAAGTGGAAGACTGAAAGTTTTCTTCCTAAAGTCAGAAACAAGACAAAGAAGTCTTGCTCTCACCAGATTTATTCAACAATGTTCCACAGGTTCTAGCCAGAGCAATTAGGCAAGAAAAAGAAATAACAGGCATTCACAAAAGGGAGGGAAAAGTTCAAGCCCCTTCATTTAATATCATTTCCTGGAAGTTGCATGTACTGTTTCTGCTGACATGCAATTGGCCAGAACTTAACTGCAAAACTCCAACCAACATCAAGAAAGTTGGTATATTATGTCTTTATTCTTTGGAAACTTGTGCCCAGTTAAAATTTGGAGGTTCCATTTTTGAAGAAAAAGGAGACAATGGGTATTGGGAGACACCAGCAGTTCCTTCCATGTTTATTAAATGCAGGTCAAAAAAAGGAATTAGGTAATTTTTTTCCTTTCTTTTTACTTTTCTTCTTCCTTCCTTTTTCCTTCCCTCTCTTCCTTTCCTCCTTTTCTCCTTCTTTCCTTCTCTTACTTTCTTTCAATACATGAATTGCAAAAGATTACTAACCTAAATGCAATGTTGTCTTCTGGATTGGATCTTGGAACAGAAAAAAGGACATTAGTAGGAAAATTAGTGAAATATAAATAAAGTCTTTAGTCAACAAAACTGTACTCATGTCAGTTTCTTAGTTTTGATAAATGTATTATGGTTACATAAGATACTGATATTAGTGGTAGCTGGGTGAAGGATGTACAAAAACTCAGTATTATTATTGCACTTTTTGGTAAATCTGAAATTACTTCAAAATTAAAAGTTAAAAAAAGATGATTGCTGATATCCAATGGCCACGGGTTTGGAAAACTAGAAAGAATTCTTATCCACTCTTGGTGGTATATATATTAGTACAGACTTTTTTTTTTTTGAGATGGAGTTTCACTCTTGTCACCCAGGAGTGCAGTGGCATGATCTCTGCTCACTGCAACCTCCACCTCCCAGGTTCAAATGATTTTCTTGCCTCAGCCTCCCAAGTAGCTGGAATTACAGGTTTGTGCCACCATGCTGGCTAATTTTTGTATTTTTAGTAGACATGGGGTTTCACCATGTTGGGCAGGCTGGTCTCGAACTCCCAACCTCAGGTGATCCACCTGCGTTGGCCTCCCAAAGTGCTGGGATTACAGGTGTGAGCCACCGTGCCCGGCAGTACAGACTGTTTTTCTAGAGCAACTAGGTGTTATTTATTAAAGGTAAATGAATTAATACATTTTTATTCATAAAATCTCCTAGAAATTAGTTTTACATAAACACGAATGCCAGATTTTGAATTTCTCTTTTAGATAATTTAGCATAATTGCTCCAAATAAATCTAAAGGGCTATTGTCAAAGAGTGGAATATTTCAATTTATAATTTTATAGGTAAAACTGTCAGTCCATGATATGGTTGGTGTTTAAAGTAGAATGGAAGTGAAGTTCCCAGAATGGAGTTTTTAAAATAACCAAGTTCCTAGGATTTTAACTGGAAGAATAAATATCTGAAAGCCAGTGAGGAGTATTAAGGATGGGATGCCACTTCTTGCACCTTGAGAAAATGAAGTATGGAAGGATGAGTGGTTTTCATTTGAGAGGGCTGCAAGGTAACTTTTCCATTTCAGATGAGGAGGTAAAAGAATGATAATTGAAAAGGAAAAAAATTTACTAAGTAGGTTATACATTTTGGAATAGAAGTTTCTATAGCACAATAGAAAAGTTTGAGTGGACACATAGCAATGATAGTTTGGGTGAGAGTGAGGCAGGAGAATAGGGTCTGGAGGCAGGGAACCTAAGGATGTTTCACGCCAACTTCCTAGAACTAAAATGAAAGGAAACCCCTAACTTTCCACGCCTAAGTAACAAAACGACCAAAGGCTACTCCCTTTGCAAACCCCCACTTTTTCTGCTGGGCAGATGGGAAATTGGCTGTCGGCAACAAATCAGACTGATTGCAGGGGAGGCTTCCTTTGCATAGAAGTGTATCACTTTGTAACTTCACCCTGCCTCTGATTGATTGCTTTTTGCACCAGTGTTTGCACAGGAGCATGACCTTTGTGACTTCATTTCGGCCTCTGGTTGGCTGCTTTCTGCAACCAATCAGACTGATTGCGAGTTACTTTATTTACATGAAGTGAGCATGAAGTGGCCAACAGGAAGCTTCTAGAGGGTATTTGGACTCAACAGGATTCTGTATCCGGGCCCTTGAGCGGCTGCTCAGGTCGCTGTCGCACAGAGCATGCTTTCATTTTCAATAAATCCCTGCTTTTGTTCTTTTGTTGCTTCATTCTTTCTTTGCTTTGCTGGGCGTTTTGTCCAATTCTTTGTTAAAAACGCCAAGAACCTGGACAACTTGCAGTCACGACCCTCTACCGGTGACAATATTATTTAATTATTGGTAGTGGCTTAGGGTAGCAAACATCCCTTTGTGGAAAGTTTACTCAGTAAATCCTTAAAAAACAGATCAGAAACAAAAACTGGCCTCCCAGGGATTTGGACTCAGGAGCTGAATTAGGCGCGGAGAGGGCGGAGCCTTAGGAGTTTATGGGCGGAGTTGCACTGGTTTGGCGGGCACCTCTGCTTCTGCTTGGCACTACTCGGCTCCTTGAGGCTCCCTGAGGCTCCCTGGAACGTGAGGCTCCGTGAGGCTCCCTGGGCTTCCACTCGGCTCTGTTCGGCTCCTGCTCCGGAAGGGTGCGCGGGGGCGAGTCCTGCGCATGCGCCCTCAACTCCTGCTGCTCTCAGGGCTGCGCTCAGCCTCGTGTTTTCACTTCCTTCTACTCAGAGCCGTATCCGGGTCGCTGCTTTCCCTATTGTCTGAGGCAGCCGGCCTCGAGCTGTGCAATTTCTGGGTTTTTTGTTGCTTGTGGTCCAGGCTAATAAAGTTTTTCTTTCTTTCTTTCTTTTTTTTTCTGGTTTTAACGGGAGAAATTAACTCCCTAGGGCCGCCGGGTTGGCTGCGCTGCCTGGGCCGGAGGTCTTCTCCGGCCAGGGAGCGCTGTGGGAAGGGGCTCGAGCGGCCAGGGCCAGGTGAGGCCGGGGGGGCGGGGGGTTAAGGGACCGCGGGGCTACTCTTGGGAGCGCCCCTGTCTGGCTGGCTGCGCGCCGGTTTTAAATAGCATCTTTCGGACTTGTCTTCGCGGCCCCAGTCCCCGACCTCGGCGCTGCCTGGGCTCCCGCAGCCTCTCCCTAAGTCTCCTCCAAACGACCACTTCACGGATTCCTTAGTAAGTGTGTCCAAGGCCTCTGCGGCGAGGGATCCATTTCAGCCATTCTAGATGTCAGGGCCGGTGGGAGCAGGGCAGGGGTGGGAGAACCCTGCGGGAAAGCTGGATTGGTGGACCCTGGCCCTCCATGGTCCGCGGGAGTGAAGCCCGCTTCTTTTATTCCCTGGGTTTTGCGTGTTTTATTGACTGTTACGATGTGTAAGTGGGGGATTACGAGTAAGGCGCAGAACCTACATCTCGAAAAGATGGGCAAGAGGGTCAGCTTCGATTTTAGCTGGCCTGAGTTGGCGTTGGCAGCATCAGGGCTGGAGCTGCCTCTGAAACTGTCCGTGGAGCTGTCCAGCCTTCCCCACCCCGCTTCTGCACCCCAACCTTCTCCTGACCTCTTTTGCTGAGAACTCAATTAGACAAAAATTCCTTGCCCAAGGTCATCTTTGTGTTCTCTTAGCACCACAACTCTCCCCTGTGTTTGGTGTGATTATGAATGACAATGTAATTTTTTTTCTCTTAACAGTGGATCGCAGCTCCAAGAGGAGGCAGGTGAAGCCTTTGGCAGCTTCTCTGCTGGAAGCTCTTGATTATGATAGTTCAGATGACAGTGATTTTAAAGTTGGAGATGCCTCAGGTAAATATTTCCTTCTCTCTTCCCCTTTCCCAGCTTTCTGGAGTTAGGTTTATTTTTAGACTTTTTAAATCGGTTTTGATTAAAATGCCAATTTTAAGTGAAAGCACATAAACTTCATTTATTTTGTCCATTTGATTTCCCATTTTGCCTTTAGATACTGTCACTAGACCTATCGTTGCTTCTGTTTTCCTCAGAGATAATTAGCAGTCAGGGGAAGGACTTTTTCCTAAGATGCAAAAGGGTTTCTCTGTTTTACACCTTAAAATATATTTATGCTTATATTACAGAGGAAAAAACTGAAAGATATCCCAAAGTACAAAAGTATCCTGAGAGGTGTGTGGACCATTAATAGTCCCTGAGCAGGGTTCTTCTTTTTTCAGATCACTTGACATTCTCTTAGGGGAGTTTTGCTTTTTTAATGTATTAGCTCTTTTGCTAGAACAAAATTGACCAGAGTAAGAGTTGCACTTTAAATTATAGTAGGTGCTGGACCTTGTGGATTGGGCCTTTCAGATATCTCTGAAGTGTAAGTCATGCATGCTTGCTTACTATATTTAGTAATTTTAAAAACTTTTTTTTTAAAGGTGGTATATTCACGTTGTACTAAACTGGAAAACAGAAAAATATGGTTTTCCTTTGTATCTTCTGTTCGGTGTGCCTTATGTATATAATATATACAGTTTCAATTGAAGGAATCTGAGAAACATAAGAATTATGTTTAAATATTTTATGGGAAAAATACTGATAAACATGAACAATAAAAATTATTTGTAATTTCACCTCTTTTGAAAATTTAAATAAAGTGAGATGAAAATTTAAATAAAGTGAGAAGTAAAAACCTTTCCAATTTCATCTCTTCAGCAGTTTTTATATCCTTCTAGAGAGTTTGCTGTGCTTAGTCACATCTCTCCTTCCTCTGGTTTTCCCTTGTCTTTTTCCTGCTAGGGATAGTAGGAAGGGATGAATGAAATTATATTACTGTTGCTACTTTTAGTAGCATCAACAGCAGAATTTGCATTGTGATTTGCTGATAACTTTTTGTTTGCATAATCTCATTTAATTTTCACAGTAACTTAGTGAAGGAGATACTATTTTACAGGTAACAGGGGTATTGAGTTTAAAGAATTGGCATGAGGTCACTCAGGCAGTAACGGATCCAATGGATTTGACTTCAGAATTTAGTCTGTTTATCTGCTTGGATCCCAAGAGTTGATGGACGGAATCTTAAACAGAAACTCTGAATATTTGGTTACTAATTGAATTCATCCCCAGCAATCAAAAATTGATAAGTTTATCTTGATTAACTGTTTTTTTATCCTTTGCTTCTCAGCTCTTTATCCCTCCTTTAGTTGGTTTGCTGATGTTTGGTATTTCCAAAGAAGGGAAGGGGAAGGGAAAGGAGGTAAAATTTAAATCTTAGTTCTCTTGGTAAAGACCTTGGCAGATAAGAATATTCCTGACTAGGATGTAGTTTTGGTTTGTTATGGTTGTGGTTGTAAACTTTGACAAACATAGTTGGGTCTTGGAAGTTATGAATTCTTTGAATATTAGAACAATTCTAAAACTTATATTAAGTATTACATAATTATGTGACAATAAATCTTGACTTTGTGGACAATTTGTTTCTAAGGTTTGTTTATTGAGATGGAGTATTCACAGGTATCGCTTCTTTTTCAAGTGATAGAACAATCTGATACAAACAGAAAATACTTTCTCAAAATATTTTATGACATCGAGCTAAGTAGAGATTTCTGACCTTGTTAAATCCTAACTATAGTTGAAGACAACTGTTGTTTGTGAAAAATGATAGGATGAGTTTTGTTAGTTTGATATATCTATATATCCCTTAAACACACTAAAAATATTTACTTTCTGTTCCCTCTTGTAACATAATATCTAGTATGCTGTACTCATAATTTACCCCCCTGGCCCCCTGGGGAGCTTAAATTTGCGACCTGTGGTTTCAGGTCACAATTTTATATGTATAGTTCTTGGTATTTATTGTAAAAGGGAATTTAGAAGAAAATGATTGTATTTAAAATGATTAATAGTCAACAGAAATTGAATCATAGTTTTGACTTGTTTTAGGTGCATCGATGCTCTGCAAAGCTGAGATACTGGCTTACTCTAGATTACCATTGTTTTCCATTTGAATCTTTTCTGTGCCTGAGGTAGTATATATTTAATTGAAGTCTTATAGAGAATAAGACATTAGTCCTATCACTGGTTTTCAAACATGTTGAAGTTGTGGATTCCCAGCACTACTTATGAATAGGAGATTAAATTGGAAGTAGACAAACGGTAGCTAAACATCTGTCTGATCATGTTTTCTTTCAAAATAACTTCTAGAAATGACTTATTGAATGAACTACGAACTTCCTTAGAACTTAAAGTGGTTAGATTGGTTGGCCTTAATTTTGGCTAACTGGATTCTGTGGATCAATTTTTTCTTACCTTCATCTTGAAATCTGAAATTCTGACTATAAAACTTTTTATATTTCTGTTTGGTTTTAGGAATAAATATAGAAAACATTTGCAGATAAATGTAATTTAACTCTATCATAAAATAGAAACAAATCAACATTTGGTAAAGAGTGACCCACGAGTAAGATTGGCAAGTGATTACCAGCCTGTACCTTTAGAAAATTATGAAACTGAAGAGAGTTTATATTTTATTTTTAATGCAAAAGCACAAGAAGCTTCTCATTTTTGATTGAAAGCTATCAATAAAGTTTGAAATGAGTAAGTCCTAAAATTGGGTATGTATGTGTTAGAATTATGGTGATAACCACCAGAAGAACAATATGTAGAAATGTTAGGTTGAACCGTATGGAATTACCAGTTTTGTAGGTCCAAAACAGTCAAATATTAGCAATTTCATGGTTTGACCTAGTTAAAGTGTTTATATTTGAGACTTGGGCATAGGGCTGGGGGTAGGATAGGAGACTTATTTACATTTAGTTATCTGCTACATTAATTGAATGTTTTAAAGAATGTTTACATCTTTATAAAGATGCAGACCTGTATTACTTTTATTAACCAGACAGATTAGCCATGCCCTCTACCCCCATCCCCCACCAGCCAAAGTAAAATGGAGTTAACTTTAGATCTTAATCAAAAGGTAGTTTAGTTAGGCCATATTACCAGGAAATAATTTAATGAGAAGAGTCAGCCTGAGACTTTGGTGGTATTTTGTGCTTAATCTGACTTTGAATAATTGGACCAAGATATGTTCATTGATTGCCCATAGTTTAGCCCTTTGCTAGATGTTATGGTGAATTTATAAAACAATAGTAATAATATTAGAATAAGTAAGTAAAATAACATGTAAGTAACATAACATGTAAGTAAAATAAAAATTAGAATAATTAAATAAAATAATTGATACAAAGGATGGTTGATCACTTGTGTAATTCAAGTCTTTCATAGGAAATGGGATTACTTTAGATTGATGTAGAACAATTTCATTGAGGAGAGGAGATAAGAGTGGAACTATGAACAGAAAGATTTAGATAAACAGCAATCTTGGTGAGGCAGAAATTAAAAGTGTTGAGACTTGGAATTGTTTTTTATATTTGGGGATCAGGGTTGACTAAAAGTAGAAGAGATAAGCCTGGAAAAGTAGAATAAGGTCAAATTGTGGCCATATATACGAGTTACTCAACCTCGGCGCTATTGGCATTTTGTGTTGGATAGTTTTTTGTTGTGGAGGCTTGTCCTGTACCCAATAGGATGTTTAGCAACAACAACCCTTTCCTCTACTAGATGCCAGTAGCCTCTAGATGCCAGTTTCCTACCTGCCCCAGCCTCACCTCCACCCCCACTTCCACTGTTGTGGCAACTGTTGTTTCCAGACATTGCCATTTGTCCTCTGGCGGAAAAAATGTCCCCATTTGAGTACCACTGGCTTAGATTTACCCATACAAACCTAAGATGACATAGCTGGAACTAGAATCAGCAGTAGAGGATGAGTTGTGTTGACTGACTGGCTGTCTTCAAGACATACACAGTTTTGGTCAAATGTAGCCCCGGGATAGCTCTAAATAACTGGTAGAATAGTGATCGGTCTGTTATCTGTTGTGTATATTTATAGTACTAATACTGTTGTACCAGATCAATGAACAGAATTAGATTGATGAAATTGATCAACAAATTTATATTGCACATGTTGTATATTAACATAAAACTAAATTAAGTCATATTGATTTTGTTATGGGGAGAACATTGGATATAGTGGTATTGATGGTTGATATTAATTAAATTAGTTTTTATTTTATTATTTAATATTATAAAGGGATTCTTGAAGGTTGGTGTTTTAAATTCTAATTTTAAAATTTATTTTATTTTTTGTCTGGCCGTTACCACTCAGAGGAGTTTTGAAAAATTCTGTGATGGTAAAAAATTTCTTAACTGTCTGTTAGTTGAAATAGCTGTTGCTTGGAGAGATTCCGATATATTGTATATTTGAGAAAGGTTATCTTTTATTTAACCAAATGGGAAGTAGGATTTCAATTTTAAAGATTTATTTTTTTCAAATGTAAGAAAAGTTTATTGTAGACTTGAAATTAACTCTGTCTTTCTGCCTAAGATAGCTTTATTTGAAGTGTCTGGCTAATTTCTCCAGTGTATTTCTTTTTTTCCTTTCTCTTTTTTTTTTTTTGGAACATGGCACAGAGTCATTCTTTGATTTTTAGTAATGGGAAATTTTTTTCTTTGCAACCTATGGAAAAAATAGCCAAGGACCTTGATTTTTCTCATTATCATTATTACTCAGCTATGCTTGTAAATAAATATGGTTTATCTCCATCCCTCCAGTGCATATGTACAAAAAACAAATAGTGACTAATCAGATGAAGAAGTTATTTTTCAGAGATCAGGGAAAGATAATATTTGATATATTGCTGATCCCTATAGAAAGATAAAATTTGATACATTGCTGATCCCTGTAGTTGGAGTCTGACTAATGTACTATATTTGGAGAACGAGGGGTTGGATAAGCTATTAGGACTTGGTTTTGTGGGAAAATGTCCATTCTTCTAATAATTAACAAATATAAAACATTGAATTTTTTTTAAATTCCTTTCTATTCAGGCATGATTATAAATCAAAAACAGAATCAAGGAGTCTCAATTTACCTCTCATTAGAAAAAATAATTAATTGGCATTGACAGCTACCAAAACAAAATCACAAAAATCTCTGACATTTTGTGAAATTTACCAAGTAACAGCAAAGTTGGATTGGTCTCAGTTTTGATCAGCTACCCACACTTCTGCCCCAGTTAATCTTACTTTTTTATCTATCATTAAATTTTGATTGGTAAAAAGCCTTCTAGAAGGTTGATCCAGAAGAAAAGTAACCTTTTCTTTCATCTTCGTCTCCTAGCTCTCTTAATTATGGCATTGCTTCCATTCTAGAGCCTAAGGTGTTTCAGTTTTCTTTAGTCAGTGTGCATAAAAGATCTTTCTGTGTCTTAGAAGTGTTTAGTCAACTCTGGTTTTTATTTATTAAATCATAATTTTAAAATGTCTAAAGATTATTATTGTTATTTTTACCAGATGAGATTTTTCCTGGTAGGTTGGGTTTAATTGCTGTGAGTGGTTTACAAAATCATAATTTTCTTAATGCTTTGGAGACTGAAAAGAAGTCACTTGTTTGTGAGTGATATTGGGTCCACACTCTTGAAATCCAAGAAGCTCAAAAATCCAAGTGTTTTGTAAGGTTGACACAAACTTACTTGATGGCAAAGCCTAACAGGAACTGGTAGGAGTTTATTTGTAGTATTTATTTCTCATACACTGTAAATATTTATATTTTTCTCTGCAGAAATAATGTTTGATTATAGGATAATCCTATGTACTTCACTGGGGGTATTACTGTAATATATGGTACATGTTCCATGTTACCCTTGAAAATCTGAGAAATTATGAATTCTAAAACACATCTGCTTCTTAAAGTTTCAGATAGGGAATTGCTGACCTGTATGATATTGCTCTTGTATCCTGTGCAAGGTTGTTTAGGATAAGAGTGTTTTTTTCAGAACAGTCACAAGTAAGCCTTGGATACCTACATGACAGATGTGAGATTGATAATGATTTCATAGAGTCAGTCAGTATCTCTTAAATGTTAGTGTTTATTTTTTATGTAATTTTGCTTGCAGGATATTTTTGTTAGCGGTCATTTTATGACTTGTGGGGCTCACTAGATACCAGATACTAATTACAGACAGCTTCCTTCAATTTTAGTGCTTAATTACAGAGGTTAAGCCTAGTTGAGTTAATAGAAATTAAAATGATATGGAAACACTCTACTTTTTCCACCATTTTATCATTACCTTTTTCTTGGCTATAGGTGCAAAAATTCATCATCCTGTGGATGTAACTATTGGTACTGGCTAAGACTTAACTGGTTTCTTCCCCACTTCCTCTTGCTCCCTGTCCTCTTTTCCTCCTCTCATTTATTTCTCTCTTCAAATATTTTAGATTGTTATTTACTTGATTGGGTACAAAGAGAATGGTTAGAAGGTTACTGAGTAGTGTTGGGTTGAGAGGGACTGGGCTGCCCTAGGTAGGAGTGGAAGAAACCTGCTAGAAAGCGTAAGTCCTATGAGCTCTTTAATGTCTTCAGCCTAACTTTTCAGTGACTGCTCATTTTCAGGATGGACTGCTTTATTCATCAGTTTCTTCTGGTCTAGAGTATATAAATGGTTACTGTGTAGCAGTTTTGAAAGTGTAGTGACTCTTCTTTTATTGATATGAACAGTATCCTAATAAACAGGAAAACTAATAATTTCTCTTGCAACTTCCTTTTTCTCTGCCATTGCTATTGTCTCTTTTCACCTGTGTTCTTGGTATTCCTAAAATTTGTTTGGTATATTAGGGATGTAGTATAAGTTGACTATCATAAATATCCATGCTCATTTTACTGGGTAAAGAGTAAAATAAATGAAGCAGTTTTATGGGCCAGATTTATCTTGTTTTGGTTGTGACTCAATACTTACAAGTCCATATAGTTTACAAAAGATGTTAAAGGGAGGAAGAATTTTGTCTGTGTTATCCGTAAAATTAAAATCAAGTGCCCAATCTTAAAAGAAGCACATTTACTTTAAAAAATAATTGCCTCTTCGATACGAAATATTGCCATGTGACACAAAATAGTGCTTCTCTTTTTAAAGCATATTTTAATTTAGGGTTATATATATTCATCTTCATTAGAGCTATACAAAACCATTGTATCAACTTCATTGATTTATTATTTGATCAGGTTGGGAATGTCTACCATTCTTTGACTTAAATTTGTTTATATTGTTTTGCAAGTTATTCACAAATTTTGGTGGTTTCATTTGTGTCAGCGTCGTGTGTGTGTGTGTGTATGTATATACATATGTGTGGTTTTTTTTTTCTCATATTTTCAACAGATTCTGAAGGGAGTGGTAATGGAAGTGAAGATGCTTCAAAGGACAGTGGAGAAGGTTCCTGTAGTGATTCTGAAGAAAATATTTTAGAAGAAGAACTGAATGAAGATATTAAAGTAAAAGAAGAACAGCTTAAAAATTCTGCAGAGGAAGTACTATCAGCAGAAAAACAATTAATTAAAATGGAAAAGAAGGAGGAAGAAGAAAATGGAGAAAGACCTAGAAAAAAAAAGGAGAAAGAGAAGGAAAAAGAAAAGGAAAAAGAGAAAGAGAAGGAAAGAGAGAAGGAAAAAGAAAAAGCAACAGTATCTGAGAATGTGGCTGCTTCTGCTGCTGCCACCACACCAGCCACAAGTCCTCCGGCTGTTAACACATCCCCTTCTGTTCCCACTGGGACAACTGCTGCAGAGGAACAAGTCAGCGAGCCAAAAAAATGGAACCTTCGACGAAACCGACCGCTTCTGGATTTTGTGTCCATGGAAGAGCTGAATGACATGGATGACTATGACAGTGAGGATGACAATGATTGGCGACCTACTGTAGTAAAGAGAAAAGGGAGATCTGCATCTCAGAAAGAGGGAAGTGATGGAGACAATGAGGATGATGAAGATGAGGGAAGCGGGAGTGATGAAGACGAGAATGATGAAGGCAATGATGAAGATCATAGTAGCCCTGCCAGTGAAGGGGGTTGCAAGAAGAAGAAGAGTAAAGTTCTTAGCAGAAACAGTGCTGATGATGAGGAACTGACCAATGATAGCCTGACCCTATCTCAAAGCAAGAGTAATGAGGTAGATCAACCCAATTTTTATATCTGTCTGTCTGGGGAAAAGGGAATTCTTCTCTAAGTCACTCTACACATTGTATTAAGTGGCTTCCTTGAAATCCTATTTATAGACGGCTGTGGGATGAATGAGCACTCTAACTGTAACATTTTTTCATTTGGCCAACAGACTTTTATTAAATATCTACTATTTGTCACCGTTCTCAAGGAGCTCACAATCTCTGTCCTCAAGGAGAAATATTTAGAGAAATATTTTTATATCCATAGACTTGGGAAATGACAAAGTTTTCCATTCTCCTTTTTATCCCTTTACTCCTTTGTTCATAGGACTGCTGAATGGTGCTGAGTGGAATATGAAAACAAAGGTCACCTTTCTTTCAACGTAGTTATGTCCATATCCTTATTAAAATGCAGGCCTTTAGAATACCTTAGAGCAGGGCAACAAACAGTCTAATGATTTTCTCAAACCTTAGAGATTAGTTTTAAAGATTAATTCCTTTACCGGTTGTAGCACTCATCATCTTTTTAGTCACCAAATCTTTGCTTTATGTGTACGGGACATACACATAAGTATAAACTATTTTTACATATATTTAGTAAATAAATTCTCTCTACAAAGAAATGGAATAAAAACCCAAACATTTCCATCATAAAACAGACATTTTTGTCATAAGACTGCAGTAATGGCTCAGTGCTTCTACTTGAAGTTCTACTACTGAAAGTTAGGTTTATCCATTGATCTCAGAGATGCATCATTCAAGACTCTTCAGTCAAACACATTTGTGTCTCTTTGTGTATGTGTTTTTGTATATGTTTTTCTTCAAAAGAAAGATTGAGTTGTTGTCTTACATGTAGATGTATCTGTTACATCACATGTACAACTGTAATAATTCTGTCATTTCTGTTAATGTGTTTATATTCACCAAAATTTATTTCCTTACCACTTATTTTTTTTCCCATATCACTGAAGTAAGTTAAACTGGTAGAAAGATTTTTCCTCTTATGCTTTATTTGTGCTTTCACATTTTTCTGCCTACAAGTTTTGCATAGCAGTGATTGTCTATTTTAATTGTTTTGCTTAAAAAGTTGGTGATTTCCTTACGAAAATAATCTATAGCAGGCTGTAAGGTTATCAGTGGAGATGAGACAACAGTTTATATTTGGATTATAAACACTGGTTTACTTCTGAAACCAATATTTTATATGAAAAAAAATGTTGCCTGCCTTCAATGTCATTCTAATTCTTAACTTTAAAAGAAAGTTGTCATTTGGGAAAAAGTATAATATTTTTAATGATATAGCACAGGCAGTTCCATATTATCAATGCTATCTTAAACAGGCATAGAAAAATCTAATTGTTTGTATTTAATTTAGGCATGCATGCAGTTTATTTTATAGCACTTAATACTGTATATCTAATGAATAAGTTTATTTTGACAACATCACTTCCCTCATTTTTATTAGGTTGATATTCTTAGAAGTAGTCTAGCTAATGATAGAGGCAGTGTGTATTAGATTTATGCTAAAGAGTGGGGGACACCTGCATATGTTTAGAAATTTGCCACGTAAAATGTGTATAGTATCTGTTTATTAAACCTGTACTTCATAAATACTGCCTAAGAGGTTGTAGACTAACATTTACGATGCATTTGAAGTCCATGTATTGGTTGCTTAGTTTTTTTTTCCCACTAGAAGACACTTCAGTAAATAATGGGACCGTTTATGTTTAGATTAATAGTCCCAAACACAAGCACATTCAGGAATGAGATTCCAAAGCACTTCTTCAAAAAAGTGCCCATGTAGAAGAGATTATAAAAAGTTACTTTTTCTCCAGAATAACATTCTACTTAAAAGCTTGAGTCATTTTCCCCACAACTCTATTATTCAAGTGCTACAGTAATTTTTTGATGATTTTAATTTAAATTATGTCCCTCAAATTAGATAATTACATTTTAATTAAAAAACTAACCAATTGTGATTATTAGTTATATTTCTAGATTTCTTATTTGTATGATCTTAATTTTGTAAAAAGATGATTAAAGCTAGTCCTTGTTGCCTGTGGCCAATGTTTGGGTTTTAATCTTCCTGGTTATTTTAGCTAGTGATAATTTCTGTGTCCATTACATAGTTAAGTATATATTTGATTATATTTGAAGTTTGATTTTCCCTGCTTTTACTTTGTTTTCAGAAACTACTTTGTAGTAGAGATAGCTGAAAATGTAGCTTTAGAAATACATAATAGAAATATATAATTATACCATATTTAGTTTATAAGCAGGCAGACATTTTTCTTGGTTGCTATGTTAAGTTCATTTGTAATGAAATGACCTGAAACTCTCATAATTTTGAAGTTTTGTATGGGAACTTGATATTTATTTTAGCAAGGCCCTTTTATAATTATCGCTCTTAATGGCCTTGACATACCTATGCTACAGACCCTGAAATACTCTCTAGCAGTGATTCTCAAACTGTTTTTTCTTTTTTTGAGACAGGGTCTCACTCTGTTGCCCAGGCTGGAGTACAGTGACGTGATCTCGGCTCACTGCAACCTCCGCCTCGTGGGTTCAAGCAATTCTTCTGCCTCAGTTTCCTGAGTAGCTGGGAATACAGGTGCGTGCCACCATGCCCAGCACATTTTTGTATTTTTGGTAGAGATGGAGTTTCACCATGTTGGCCAGGCTGTTCTCCAACTCCTGACCTCAATTGATCCACCTGCCTTGGCCTCCCAAAGTGCTGGGATTATAGGCATGAGCCACCACGCCTGGCCTCGTTTTAAAATTTTTTTAATTTTAATTTTTTTTTTGAGACAGGGTCTCGCTTTGTTGCCCAAACTGGGGTGCAGTGGCGTGATCATGGCTAACTGCAGCTTTGATCTCCCAGGCTCGAGCAATTCTCCCACCTCAGCCTTCGGAGTAGCTGAGACTACAGGTGTACGACCATGTGCTTTTATTTTTGATTATTATTATTATTTTTTTTGTGGAGACGGTATCTTACTATGTTGCCTAGGTTCATGTCAAATTCTTGACCACAAGCAATCCTCCTGCTTCAACCTTCCAAAGTGTTGAGATTACAGGTGTGAGCCACCACACATAGCTCTTTTACAGTTTTAAAAATTATTGAGGACAACCGTTAATATTTATGTGGATAATATCTGTTGATATTTACCATTTCAAATTAAAACTGAGTAAGCACACAAGTTGTCAGATCCCATTTTATATAGTGTCTGGAAAACTTCATTTTACTCCCATGAGGGAAAGAGTGAACAAGACAAATAGTGTCTTAGTATCATTATGAAAATTGACTTTACTTTTTATACCTGCTGAAAGAGAATTCACTGGACCACACGTTGAGAACTGCTGCTCTAGAACTGGGCATTAGATAAATTCCATTCTTGCAAACAGGCACCTGTTTTTGTCAATGACCTTCTGGCATTTTTTGGATTTAGTGCAGTCTGAAGAATCCCCTTGAAATATGATTGTATGTCTTTTTCAGCCGTTAATCTTGCAGCTTTGAGATTCCTTAAGATTATCTTGCCCTTTAGTTTTCTGAGGTAAGTTTTTTGGAGAAGGCAGTTTAGTATTTTCAGAAATGGTTCCCATTTTCAAGATTTTGAAACTGAAGTTTTGTATGAGAATTAATACATGACAGTAAATTATGTCAATAGAATTGGCATTTTTGTTTTGTAAAAGAAAGAGTTCTTTTCTCATGGAAAATACTTAAAATTGGAGACAGTTTGGATTTTGGATTACTGCTTTATAAATGTAACTTTATGTTCTTTGCTGAGTAGAATTTTTTTTTCCATAAAAGGCTCTGTTACAGATATTAGGTGTCATATTAAGAAATGGTAATTGTCACCTGATTTTTGTGAATTAAAATGTAAAAATTTTGCCAAAATTTATAAATATTCACTTCTATTTGAGACTTCTAATTTATTAATCAGTTGCCTTTTTACACATTGCAAAATGAAACAAATTGCTCTGAGTCCTAAAAAAAAGTCAGTTCTGTAACGTATAAATATTGAGATTCACGAGAATTTGACCTTTTCTAAAAGCTTAGAGGAAGTATGATTGGTCAAGCTTTTTGATACAATAATTTCTTCTTCAGGGCAGTAGGATTCTTTTAATTCGAATTTTACAGGAAATGTGCTGGAATTTCCTTGTATTAAACACATGTGTTTAGATAAAATTTAGCCTATTGTATATATCATTTACAATCATACGTGGAACATATATATATATAAAAATGAACAGTAAGCATATTTTAGAGCCTGTGAAGAACATTGATCAGTGTTATCATTTTGGGGGTAAGTTTTAAATCCTGATGGAAAAAATGAAATATTTACTATAAGTAGTGATTGATTTATTCATGTAGTATCACTTATTCTTCCTATAATTACATTGGATTCCATTACATTATTCCACAATATTAAAGTTATTTTCTAGGTGGTACTTTTTTGCCATTCAAAACCTATTTTCCTGATGTCTATTTTTATGTAAAACCATATTTTAGAAATTTTATGTTAAAAGCTTCAGCTTAACTAATTTCTCTAAAATCTTGAAAGATGATGTATGTCCTCAGAAATATCCTAACAACAGATGATAATAAATCAGGTTTTGTATTGATCTAATCATAAGTGTGCTTAAACCTATGTTTGATGTGTTAAAACTGAGATCTAGCTGGCCGTGGTGGCACATACCTGTAATCCCAGCTACTCGGGAGGCTGAGTCAGGAGAATTGCTTGAACCTGGGAGTCGGAGGTTTCGGTGAGCCGAGATCTCACCATTGCACTCCATCCTGGGCAACAACAGCGAAACTCCGTCTCAAACAAACAAACAAAAAAAGCAAAAAAGAAAACTTAAGAGCCTAATTTTTTTAAGGAGGATGTGTTATTTAGATTTTCCAGTTGAAACATTGTCTGCCAGCTATTTGGTTAGGGAAATATTTTATCTCTAGTTTTCCCTATTTCCTTCTTTGCATTACATTTCTATTAAGAGTCTGAAGTCATGAGGATCAGAGGGCCAGAAACATTAGTTAATGTTGTTTTCTGTGCCTGTAAATGATAATAGATGTGGAGAGAAATTGGCGTAGAGATATGATTTAGGCATTTATGGTTTTTCTGAGCAAAATGGAAAAATAGGAAAATAGAGGAATTAGAACTGCATTTTGATACAACTTTTTCTGACCTTTTGAAATTTACTTGTTTACCATGTGGGTAAACCTTTTTTCCAGGGCTGATTAATTAATTCCACCAGAGAAATTACCACACAGTCCATAAAGACATGTAGCATCTTAATTTCCAAACTCTGATTGTTTGCTAGATTATTTTCTAGTCTGTAATTTTTTTTTTTTTTTTAACCTAGATGTGGTATTCTTTTTTTTTTTTTTCTTTGAGACGGAGTCTCGCTCTGTCGCCCAGGCTGGAGTGCAGTGGCCGGATCTCAGCTCACTGCAAGCTCCGCCTCCCGGGTTTGCGCCATTCTCCTGCTTCAGCCTCCCCAGTAGCTGGGACTACAGGCGCCCGCCACCTTGCCCGGCTAGTTTTTTTGTATTTTTTAGTAGAGACGGGGTTTCACCGTGTTAGCCAGGATGCTCTCTAAGGAAAGTCTTCTTTGGACTTACCATGGGGATGATATTTAAAGTAGCAGTGTTCATTGAGGCTCGCAACTTTTCTTTTGGGGGCACAAGGAAGATCCTCAGTGTAATAAATCATCAGTTCATGATCCTCTTTTTGAACCACTGTAACAAGAGATACAGCGGAAAGGAAAAGGCATTGAACATTTATTGAGTGTCTACTTTGTGCCAGGAACATTCTTGCCGTCTATTGTTAATTCTTATAACCTCCTGAGGTAGATATTATTTTTATCGCCATTTTGCAGATAAAGAAATTACAGCTTCGAGGTTCAGTAGCGAATAAGTGAGAGGTGAGAAAGAAACTTAAAATGTTTGATTTCATGTCAACTTTGAAGCATGACTAATAGTATGAAAATCTGGGCAGATTTTTGTTTGCTTACTCTTGTACTGTAAAACCAGATGAGTTTTATTTAGGACATTTTCACTTTTATTTGCCAGTCACTTGTCAGCCCCAGAACTATTTTTTTGGTTTTATAACATAGAGAAGCAAAATGCAGAACTTAAAAATACTAGAATTCTTAAGAGAAATGATACTATATTCTTGTTGACATTTGCATTCTTTTCTGATTGTTTTACAAATCTGCTGCAATTTTAGATGTTACACACAAAGTATGTTGAATTATTAATTGTGACCTTCAAGTATATTCAAGTGTCACAAATTGCTGTTTAAATGATGGCTCCAAATGTTACTTTTGGATATTGGTTGAGTTTAAAAGAATATAAAAATATAAAAAATAAAATATATTTATGAAATATATTATGAAAAATGTATATTTAATGAGTGTATGGTATGAAACTAATTTATTAAATTTATTTCTGAATATTGTTAGGTTGATAAATAAAAATGTATGGACTCAAGTACCATCTTTTATTATAGGTAATGTTAAGCACAATCTATTAAATATGCAATAATCATTTTCTTGTTAACTTTTTTAAAGTTTAACTCTATAATGCAGAAGGTTTAAATGAAAACAAGCAGACCCTCTTCTTCTGAATTTTATCTTTTAAATGTTTATTAATATGTCTTCCTATTTCTTTCTTTCTTTTTGAGACAGTCTTGCTCTGTCCCCCAGGCTGGAGTGCAGTGACATAATAATAGCTGGCTGCAGCACTGAATTCCTGGGCTCAAGTGATCCTCCCGCCTCAGCCACCTGAGTACCTGGGACTAAGGGCATGCATCACCACGCCCAGCTAATTTTAAAATACGTTGTAAAAACGGGATCTCACTCTGTTGCCCAGGCTGGTCTCAAACTCCTGGCCTCAAGTGATCCTCCTACTTCAGCCTCCCACAGTATTTGGGATTACCAGCGTGAGCCACTGATCCCATCCTCTCTTTTTGTAGTATCACTAGCTAGATGTCTTCATTACCAGTTTACACTAGATATTTCTTGATATAAACCTAATTAATAGAGTTCTCTGACCCTTCTAGCAGCTAGTCAATCTGGATCCTTTTTTAGATTATTTTCTGTATCTGTGTATATTCATATACCTAGGCAGGCTCTCATGGATCTATCTTATAGTAGTTTGATAATGCTGGAATTTCTGAATTCCCCAGTACTTAAGGAGTATAGAGTCCTTAAGTCTGCCATCACATATATACTTGCTTATACATTATTTTGAATTGATTTCTTCCTATTTTGCATATGTGTGTCTTGTCTCCTCTAGGTAGGATTATAAGCTCCTAAAGTGTAAGAATCATGTCTTGTACTTTTAAAACACATGTATAAGATCAGTGATTACTTTGATTACTTGTGGATTCATTTTTCGTTTTTCCTGGTTTAAGGGGCAAAGCAGATCAAGAGTTGTTAGTTGCATGCCTGCTTTTTCATATCGTCTCTCCAAGAGGAGAGAGAATACGAAGCTTGCAGAGAAGTGAGAAATTAAATAAGAGGGTGCTTGTAGTGTTCTTTAACAAAGACGTCAAGTATATATTTCTCAGATATAATGTACTTTGGAGTTAATAAAAGAATGGAAAATGGGGCGTGCATTTGGAAGTGCATATAATAATGTTTAAGTAATAAAGAGAATTTTAGTGATTAATTTTTTTTTTTACTTTAAATGTGATTTTCTGATATATGTTAATATTTTAATATTAGGACTCGCTGATTCTTGAGAAGAGTCAAAACTGGAGCTCTCAAAAAATGGACCATATTCTGATTTGCTGTGTTTGTCTGGGAGATAATAGTGAGGATGCTGATGAAATAATTCAGTGTGACAATTGTGGCATTACGGTCCATGAAGGTAATGTTGCTTTCTTTTCTCTCTTTTTAGAAATGGCTGACTGTGGCTCTTTTACGTTTGTACTAAGGTGGTTCTACAGTATTTCATGGTGTTTTGGTTGAAATAATGCTAAATCATCAAAGTATGGGTGCTATTTTTCAGGTTATCTTTTCTTTGTTTTTGAGGTGGAGTCTCACTCTGTCGCCCAGGCTGGAGTGCAGTGGCACAATCTCGGTTCACTGTAACCTCCACCTCCCGGGTTCAAGCGATTCTGCTGCCTCAGCCTCCCGGGTAGCTGGAACTACAGGTGCCCACGACCACACCTGACTAATTTTTGTGTTCTTTTTTATTTTATTTTAATTTATTTATTTTTGAGATGGTGTCTCGCTCTGTCGCCCAGGCTAGAGTACAGTGGTGCTATCTCAGCTCACTTCAACCTCCGCCTCCCGGGTTCAAACTATTCTGCCTCAGCCTCTTGAGTAACTGGGATTACAGACATGAGCCACCACGCCCGGCTAAGTTTTGTATTTTTAGTAGAGATGGAGTTTCACCACATGGGTCATGCTGGTCTTAACTCCTGACCTCATGATCCACCCGCCTCGGCCACCCAAAGTGTTGGGATTACAGGCATGAGCCACCGTGCCCAGCCAATTTTTGTGTTCTTAGTAGAGACGGGATTTCACCACATTGGCCAGGCTGGTCTCAAACTCCTGACTTTAAGTGATCCGCCTGCCTCAGCCTCCCAAAGTGCTGGGATTACAGGTGTGAGCCACTGCACCTGGTCCCCCGGTCATCTTCATTAAAAAAAAAAAATTTAAATAATGAAAATAGAAATACTATATGGAAATCAGTATTTCTTTAAAGGTCAGGGTTATGGTATTGTATTTTATGATACTATTTCTTTTTTTTTTTAAATTAAAAATTTTTTTTTCTTTTTGTAGAGATGGGGTTTTGCTATGTTGCCCAGACTTGGTCTTGACCTCAAGCAATCTGCCTGCCTCAGCCTCTCAAAGTGCTGAGATTACAGGCATGAGCCAGTGTGCCAGGCCTTATTTCCAGTTTTTTTTTTAAATTTTAAATTAAAAAAATTTTTTTTAGTTTTTAAATAAAATTCAGAAGTAGGAAAAAGTTGACTATTTTAGTCTGATAGAAAGTATTCTTAAAAAACTTACATTCTATCAATTTTTTGTAGCTTCTTCTTTCATAGATGTGCTTTTATTTTTGAGAGAGAGTCTTGCTCTATTGTCCGGGCCGGAGTGCAGCAACGCGATCTCAGGTCACTGCATCCTTTGCCTCCCAGGTTCAAGCGATTCTCCTGCCTCAGCCTCCCGAGTAGCTGGGATTATAGGTGCCTGCCACCATGCCCGGCTAATTTTTGTATTTTTAGTAGAGATGGTATTTCGCCATGTTGGCCAGGCTGGTCTCAAATTCCTGGCCTCAAGTGATCCACCTGACTCAGCCTGCCAAAGTGCTGGGATTACAGGCGTGAGCCACTGTGCCTGGCCAATAGTATGTATTTCTTAAGAGCAAAGGGCCAGGTGCAGTGGCTCACACCTGTAATCCCAGCACTTTGGGAGGCTGAGGTGGGCGGATCACCTGAGGTCAGGAGTTTGAGACCAGCCTGGCCAACATGGCGAAACCCCATCTCTACTAAAAATACAAAAATTAGCTGGGTGTGGTGGCTCATGCCTGTAATCCCAGTTACTCGGGAGGCTGAGGCAGGAGAATCACTGGAACCTAGGAGGCAGAGGTTGCAGCGAGCTGAGATTGTGCCACTGTACTCCAACCTGGCCAACAGAGGGAGGCTCCGTCTCAAAATTAAAAAAAAAAAAAAGGCATTATCTTACATAACCACATAATTATCAAAGTCAGGAAGTTAACATTGATGAAATACTGTTTTATCTAATCTATATAGATTGTATTCAGATTTTGTCAATTGTCTCAACAATGTCATTTCTAACAAAATAAAACTAGGATCATGTATTGCATTTAATCGTCATGTCTATTTAGTCATCTTTAATGTGGAACAGTCCTTGAGTTTCTGTGTTTTATGTCATAGACCATTTTTAAATATAGACCAGTTTTTTTGTTTTGTTTTGTTTTGTTTTGTTTTTACAGAATGTTCCTAATATGATTAGATTTGGGTTATATGCTTTTGGCAGGAATACCACAGAAGTTATGTAGTGTTCTTAGTGCATCGTATTAGGAAGCATATTATATTTATTTGTGCAGTTACTGGTGATATTACCTTCCTTTTTTTCTCTGTTTTATTGCATAAGCCTACCAATTTAGAATACTGGTGATATTTTGATCACTTGGTTGGGAGGGTGTCTTTCTGGTTTACCTGTGGTAAAGTTATTTTTCTTACCAATTAATTATTATTATTATTTTTTAATCAGGGCTGTGACTACCACAAAACAGTATTTCTATGGCTTTTCTCTTACCTGCTTTTCTGGTATTACAGCCCTTGTCCCAAGTAATTCTGGGAGTCTGCTGGACTTGTGGGACTTGGCAGGATCTGTGATTCTCTAGCTAATCCTCTTGTCTTCATGTGGAGCTGCCCTTTTTTGCTGCTAACACTCACTGTGGGAATATCTCCAGTTACTGTTATTTATATTTTTAGTAATGTTTGTTGAGTACCTTCTATGTGCTTGGTATTCTGTAAATTTTAGGCATATGAAATAGAATGTACGAATTGTTGACCTGGTGGAACTTAATGTCTGGACAGGCAGGCAGTAAGCAAACCAATAAATATCTCTCAGTTGGTGGCCCAGATTCTTAAGAAACACGAAGTTGGACAAGGAGTATAGGAATGCTATGTGTGAGGGTGGTTGGGTGAGTTGGCAGAAGTTTGTATTTATAAAAGTTGATAAGGGGCCAGACACAGTGGCTCACGCCTATAAATCCCAGCACTTTGGGAGGCTAAGGCAAGTGGATCACGTGAGGTCAGGAGTTCGAGATCAGCCTGGACAACATGGTGAAACCACATCTCTACTAAAAATACAAAAATTAATCTGGCATGGTGGTGTGTGCCTGTAATCCCAGCTACTCGGGAGGCTGAGGCAGAGATTCGCTGGAACCTAGGAGGTGGAGGCTGCAGTGAGCTGAGATTGCGCCAGTGCACTTTGGCCTGGGTGACACAGGGAGACTCTGTCTCAAAAAAAAAAAAAAAAAGTTGATAAGGTAAGCCCACTCTGATAAGAGGATATTTGAGCAGTGACCTAAAGGAAGTAAAAGAGCAAGTCATGTAAATATATCGGGAAAGAGCACTGCAAGCAGAGGGAGTAGTGAATGTAAAGATCTTGGCCAAGCACAATGGCCTGCGCCTGTAATCCCAGCACTTTGGGAGGCAGTGAATCACTTGAGGTCAGAAGTTCAAGGCCAACCTGTCCAACATGGTGAAACGCCATATCTACTAAAAATACAAAAAATTAGCTGGACTTGGTGGCGTGTACCTGTAGTCCTAGTTACTCAGGAGGCTGAGGCAGGAGAATGGCTTGAACCCAGGAGGTGGAGGTTGCAGCGAGCTGAGATCAAGCCACTGTACTCCAGTCTGGGTGACAGAGTGAGACTCTGTCTCAAAAAAAAAAAAAAAAAAAATCTTGAAGTGGTAACATGCTTGAGTGTTTGTATAGTGGCACAGAAGTTTGTATGACTAGAACTGGCTGAAGAAGCTGGTTAGTGGTGGGAGTAGAGATGGTAGTAATCCAGCTGGGGTCTTGCAGATTCTGGTACTGATTTTAGATTTTATTATGATGGATATGGGAAGCCATAGCATGGGTTTTGAGCAGAGGATTAATATGGTTTGATTCATATTTTGGAAGGATCACTCAGACTGCTGGGTTGGGAGTATACTGAAGTGAATCTAAGGTGGGCAACTAGGAAAATATTTAGGAGACCATTGCAGTTATCTAAGAGAGGAATTGGTTTTGAGGTAGATAGTAAAAGTTTGGTTTTACACTGTATTTATGTAAGATATTAGGACTAGAAATTTAAATTTGGGACTTATCAGCCTGAAGATGTTATGCAAAGATGTAAGACTATATGTAATAAAGTCATCCTAGTACTTTAGAGGAGATGGGGAACACATGGCCAGTGAGATATGAGAACCATGGATGGTGACCCAGAGAAAAATGTTTCAAAAAGAGAAAGTCAGTAAATGTATCAAATAATGTTTTTAAGAGTGGGAAATCACCCTAATTCAATGCTGGACTTCAAGTACACCACCAGGCAAGCTATCCCAGAGGTTATTGAAAAAAAAAAAACTAATTGAAAAAATGTTTGTATCACATGATTCATTAAATAAATATAAAATACACAGAAGCAAGGGGAAAGATAGAGGATAAGTTAACACATTTAGACTGAGGTTTAAGTAGGATAGAAGGACCATACTACCTAAATCATTCCTGGGGTATAATGTTTATACGTTTTGGCTTATCAGCCTTCTTTGCTAATGCTGCGGTTGTGAGAACCAGAGCCCACAAGGTAGGTGCCCTGGGCCACAGATACACACACTCTCAGGAAGATACAGGAACAAGTATGCCTGGTCATGGTGTTAGCTCTCCAGTTAATCTACTCAACAGCCATAGGTTTTATTTGTATTTGTTAGTCAGTGGACAGAATAGGTATCACCAATGGGTGGCCAAATTAAGGCCTCATGAATATTGAGTTCTAAGTGTCTCATACATATTTAATGTATTCTGACTCTTTGGTGCTTTTTGCATATTTGCCTCAAGAATGTTAGATACATCTTGGTCCTTCTGTCCCTTTCTGTCTGTGTTTAATGCATACATGCTTTACTTTTTATCTATACATACACATGTAAGTTTTATTGCTCTCATTTTGTTTCTGTATAGTAGAGTTTAATATTCTCAAGCAGGGCAAAAACACATTTTAACTGAGAATACATCATTGAATTTAGTAACATGAGGGTCATTGGCCATCTTGATCTGAGAGAGTTCAAAGTGAGAATAAAAGAAGGGGAAGTGCAATTCCCCACGTGCAATTCCTATGATGAGTTT